GAGCTATGTGATACCCTATGGGCAATTTTTGATGCCTACAAAATGTTGTGCGTGTTCAGGAGTCATATTCTAGAGCTAAAGCAATGAGACAAAATATTATTACTGGGAAATGTAGTATCTCAACTGAGAACATGAATGTGCATGCTGTGCATGTTCAGGAATCATGCCCTGGCTCTTCACAAGCTGATAAGTCATGGTTTCAAGTTCAAAAAATCAAGGCAAAGAGATTTCACTACCTGGTATATCTTTTACAACTCTTAATAAATTTGAGATTGATCCCTCTACTATTGACAGAGGGGGTCTGTCTAAATGAATCGGTCTTTTTGGAATGTTAGAAAATTAAATAAGTCCTCTAACCAGCAATTGGTTAAGCACCATCTAAACCAATATCATTTCTCCTTCCTTGCTCTACTAGAAACAAAAATTAAAGAGAACTGTTTACCTATTATTGCCAAAAACATTGCAATTAAGTGTATCTGGATATCAAATGTGAGGAATTCTTGAAAAGCAATAATCATGATATTATGGGATCCAAATATACTAGACATTCAAATTGTTAACTACTCAGATCAATACATAACATGCTCAGTCAAGTCTCTAGATGATAGGATTTACTGTGTTATATATTCTATTTATGCTTTCAATCACATGGTGGCTAGGAAAGAACTATGGCTGCAACTTAATTAGATATATCATTCCATTGGAAATTTACCATGGCTATTATCTGGGGATTTCAATGCTATGGTCTGTAATGAGGAAAAATTAGGGGGGTACAAGTCTTTCAGAAACAGATACAATGGATTTTAGTGATTTTATAGAAAATTGTCAGCTTACTCATCTTAAAACAAATGGATGTTTTTAACCCGGAACAATAAGCAAGAAGCTAGCTCAAGGGTCTGGAGTAGGTTGGATAGAACATTGGTGAGTGATTCTTGGATTCACATGTGAAATTCCAGCCAAGTGGAGTATCTGTTGCCAAACTTCTTTGACCATTCACCAGCTCTGGTTTCTATTTTTGAGGATTGTATACATGGTAAAAAACCTTTTCAAAATGTGGACCAATCATACAAGCTTTTTGCCTACAGTTTTTAAAATCTTACAAGAATCAGTTGAAGGCTATACAAAGCTCAAAAAAGTGAAGGGTGCTCTTAAGGAAATTAACAAAAGATACTTTCATAACATTAGTGAACAGGTACAAAGAGCTAGACTGGCCTTAGAAGCTGTTCAAAGGAATCTTCAAACTGATCCTCTCAATCCTATGCTCATAAATCAAGAAAAGGACTGTATTAATTCTTATAACAAATTGTTGAACCGTGAGATGTCGTTTTATCAACTAAAAGCAAGAATAACATGGAGTGTCAAAGGTGATAGGTGCACTAATTATTTTCATTTAGTCATCAAATCCAAGAGAAATCTAAACAGAGTGGCAGTGATCTATAATAATGTGGGTGAAAGAATAACTGATGGTGAGGGGATTAAAAATTAGTTAATCTCCTTCTACAAAGACCTCATGGGTACTGCTACATCCACATCAAATGCAGACAACAATGTTATTAGCAATGGTCCATGCATGAATGATGTACAGGCCAGAAATCTGTCTACTTCAGTTACTAAATAGGAGATCAAAGCAGCTGTATTCTCCATGCCTGAAAATAAGGCTCTAGGGCCTGATGGATATAATATTTCTTTCTATAAATTAGCATAAGATATCGTTGGAGATGTGGTTACTCAAGCCATTGAAGAATTCTTCAAAACTGAAAAGATGCTGGGTACAATAAATTTAACCTCCATTACACTAATTACAAAGGTACAATGTCCAAAAACACCTTCTGATTTCAGACTCATTTCTTGTTGTAACTGCCTATACAAAATCATCTCCAAAATTTTGGCAAATAGAATCAAAATAGTCATGAGATTACTTGCAAATGAAGATCAGGGTGCTTTTGTTCAAGGGAGGCAAATTAAAAATAACATATTGCTTGCACATGAGCTTATAAAAAACTATGGAAGAAAACATCTTTCACCTAGAGGTATGCTCAGTATTGACATCAGGAAATCCTTAGATACATATAGCTGGAAATTCCTAACAGAAATGCTCAATGGCCTTGGTTTTCCCAGTGCAATGATAAAGTGGATTATGGCTTACATATCTTCTTCTAAATATTCCATTTCTTTAAATGGTTCTCTCCATGGATATTTTAAAGGAGTAAGGGGGTTGAGACAGGGTGATCCCTTCTCACCCTATTTATTTATTTTGGGGATGGAATATCTATCTAGAAGATTGGATACGTTGAGAACTGACAAAAAATTTAAATATCTTCCAAGATGTGGTAGTTTAAAAATTACTCATCTAATATTCGTAGATACTTGCTTTTATTTGCTAGAGGAAACTTATATTCAGTCCAAAAGTTGTACCAATGTTTCAATGAATTTAGTGCTACGACGGGGCTAGAAGAAAATCCAAACAAATGCTCCATTTTCTATGGAGGGGTTGATGATAATGTTAAAGCCTCCATTAATAACTATCTGGGATTTTCAGAGGGTGTCTTACCAATGAGATATCTTGGAGTTCCTCTTCTACACAAAAGGCTATCGTTTATAGATTGTTCCCCCTTCCTCAACAAGATGAAAAGCTAGTTTCAGAATTGTTCGAAATATAGAAATCTATCATATGTTGGAAGATTACAAATAATTAGAAGTGTTATTCTAGGTGTTCAAATATACTAGACATCTAGTTATGTATTTTCTGTAAAAGTCCTCCAGAAAATAGATGAACTATGCACAAGCTTCTTGTGGGGGAAGTCTGAACAAACTTTCAGTGTTCCTCTTGTTTCGTGGGATAAAATTTCTTTGGGGAGGAAACAAGGAGGCCTAGGTATTTTCTCTGCTAAAATCTAGAATTCAGCTTCAGCTTTGAGAAACTGTATATTCATGTCAATAAAGAGTTATTATGGATCAAATGGATCCATGTCAATTACTTGAAAAACAACAACATCTGGCAAGTGCAAGCAAAACCTGGAGATTCTTGGATGTGGAGGTAATTGTTAAGAGGTAGAGGTAATGCTATGGTATACTGTGGTGGTACTGAAAACCTGAAGAAAATTATTAGCTCCTGCTATAAAAATTCTAAAATAAAGCTTTCTTCCCTGTATCTTTCTCTTTCCCCTGTAGTTAACAATGTACTGTGGCATGACACAGTCAGGGAGAATTTGAGTTATCCAAAGCACTCCTTCATATGTTGGTTAGTTGTTCAAGACAGGTTACTCACTCAAGATAGATTGTTGCGGAGAGGAATTATATCTAGCAATACTTGTCACTTATGCTGCAAGTCTTGAAAACAGAAATCACTTATTTTTTGAATGCTTATACTCGAGTGAAGTTTGGAATCTTATAATGGAGTGGCTTCAGTTTAAATGGAGGATTTTTTGAATGCTTATACTCGAGTGAAGTTTGGAATCTTATAATGGAGTGGCTTCAGTTTAAATGGAGGACATGTACATGGAATCTCCTACTGAACAGTTTGGAATCTTATAATGGAGTGGCTTCAGTTTAAATGGAGGACATGTACATGGAATCTCCTACTGAACTGGTATAATACCAGAGTGAGGGGAAAGAGGTTCAAGCAAAAAATACAAAGAATGGCATTGTCATCAACAATGTACAATATATGGTGTGAACGCAATGCTAGGATTTTCAAACAATCTTCCAGAAATGCTGAGAAATTGGTTAAAGAGATTAAAATCGATATTATGATCATTACTCTCAATAGTTTACTGCCAGTTGAAATCAAAGACTGGATGATCTCGCTGCAAAGATCAAGTTTTGGAAGTTCTTGGGGATATCCCATAGTGTTAGTCTTTTTGTTTTGTTGTCTCTTTTGATGAGTATCTTAATGTACACAACTTACATACATTGGTCAATGAAATATTGTTATCTCTTTTAATGAGTATCTTGATGTACAAAAACTTACATACATTGGTGAATGAAATAAAGTTCTTCATTGACCCAAAAAAGCACAACAATTTGCAGTGGGCCATGTTGTTCAAAAAGACCTTCAAATTTACTACACTATTTGTTGAACAACTTTCCATCAATATTTTTTCTGATACTTTAAATTTATTTTTTCCTTTAAATCACTTACTCATTTTTCCATTTTGAAAATAAATTAATATAAAATAAGTGTCTATCTACATGCAACGCACGTACGCTATACCAGTTGATTGAAAAAGTAGGAAATGAAGGTCTAATATCCCAATTAAGAAGGGGATTCCTAGGAATTTACTTAAATTTGAGGGGGCCAAATACGTACTTTACCCCAATAATTACTTGTAAAAAACCGGGAAGGAAGATTTATAGTCAAATTTTTTGAGTTCTCAAATTTTGAGATTCTTGATGTACAAATAACTTTCAGATTTGGTAAATGATAATATAATCTTCATTGACCAAAAAAAAAGATTTATAGTCAAACCTTGATCATTAAGAAGATAGTTGTTTTTGCAGGGCTTAGGATAGATTATTAGTTTTCTTGTAGCAATATTAATGATCTTTGTGATATTCTTTTTTGAAGGAACTTGAACTTGCGATGACAAACAAAGACGAATCAAATTCAACCAAAAGAGATGGAAAGAAAGAATAAAGTCCCTTTCAAACCACAGAACCTCAGAACCTTTCACTTTCTTTTTGACTCAACAGTACACTCTTAACACTTAAACGAGTGCACACATTGACCATTTATTTAGCCAGTAGCTGATACCCAATTACTCTCCAAGGAATACTATTTAATCCCTCTTCTAAATATTGATATAGAGATAAAAAGTTATGGTAAAACCTTGATCATTAACAAATTAAATTAAAGTAAGTTTTGAGGGTTAAAGGGCATAAATATCACTTCTTATAGAAACGTTGACCTTGTGCTATTCTTAATTCTCTTGAGGGAAATTGACCTTTTGCTGTCAAACAAAGAGATTAAGACTAATCAAATTCAACCAATAGAGAAAGGAAAAAAGAAAAAAAAAGATCCTCCCAAATGAGAGAACCTCAAGAGCTTGAGTTTCTTTTCAACTAAACAACTACTTTCCAAACTCAACGCTCGAACCAAATGCATGCATTGACCATGAAATCAAGCATGTCTCACTAGCCACAAGCTAGCAATACCATATCTACACATCTTTCTTCTCTCAAAACTCCCCTAATCCCTGTCCTAACTAACTAAACTAAACTAAATCAACCTTCAGTGTGCAACCTCTTCTTTCCATTGAGGGCAACCCCAAAGAGCTTGATGCTGCTCTCCGCCACAACCGGCTCCTCCATTATTGTCACTGAGCTTGGACCAACCTCCACAACCCTAGCAGGCCTTGGGGTGACATGATTTTGGATGAAGTAGATGATATCATTGTATAGCTTCTTCATGTGAGTCAGCTCTGATAAGAGCATGGAGTTCTTCTTCCTTAGTCTCTGGTTGTCCTCCGAGAGAGCCGAGAGGTAGTCACTATTGGTACCGGGTATCGGAGGGAGCAATGGTGGCTCATTGATCCAATAAGATGATCTCTCTACTACATGATGGTGATGGTCATTTGGAGGTGGAGGGAGTTGATGAGGTTGGAAGTGATGAGGTGGTTGGGAGTAATTTGTTGTTTTTCTTCTGTGGATCTCGGAGAGGAGGTGCTTTTGGCCTTTTCTGAAGAACTCATTGGCAAACTCCCATCTATCAGCTACTATCTTTCTAAAACCCTGTGTGAAACAATGACAAAGATATGTACATGTCAAGCAAAAATTGATTGTAACTTAGCATGCATTATTTGTATACTAGGTTAATTCATGCAATATTTTCTACATATAAGAGAAAGATAAGGTGGTATTTTGCTGTTGATGTTTGGATGAGTGCATTTTAATCATTTTTCTAACTATAGCTTTATAATGTATAATATTAGGAAGACAAGCTCTTGGTACCTCGATGCTATGGAAAAATCAGCCAAATCACGATATGAGAGAGAGAGAGAGAGAGAGAGAGAGAGAGAGAGAGAGAGAGAGAGAGAGAGAGAGAGAGAGACCAATCAAAACATTTTGAATCCTTGAGCGAGAGGGAGAGAGACAAACAAAATCACATTAGTGCTCATGTGTGTATGTGTGGTGTGGGGAAGAAGAAGGTGGAAATAACGAGACATTGGAAAGATGCAAGAGAGATTGAACTCTCACTATCTATACTCTAGTGATGACCAAGTGCAACAAAGGACCCAACATGTATAGCCACATCCAACAACGACGAAGCATTATGATTATCTTCATCTCCAAACAAAAGATCGAAGAACAGAAAAAAGAAGCAAAGGCTAAATCAAATCTAACTAAGCTAAATGAAAAGAGAAACAAAAACACTCATGGAATCTAGAGAGGAAAAAAAGAAAATAGGCAGCCTTAAAAGATCGATACTTTTTCTAACACTGTGAAATGCAAGCTACTCACATAAGTGTTGAGTTGCCTCACAAAGCTAGAGAAGTTGTTATGCTTGAAGTAATTTGGCAAGAGATCCCTTGCAAACTCTGGGGGTCTCCACACAACAAACGTGGCCTCATCCTCTCCCCATGACACAATGTGATCGGTGCAAGGGTCGTCAACCAACTGGTAAGTCTTGGTGAGAAATGGAGCTGGCACTGCCTTGTGAGAATCCATAGAAACCACCATCTCTCCACATCTCTCCACTAAGAAAGCCATAACCAAAACCTCAAAGCTCAAATCTCAAAGCTCTTACACTTTACAACAACAAAAGCTCAGAGGTAAGCTAGGTCTCAATATATGCACATTTCTTTCTCTCTCATCATTATTATTATATTCATACACATGGGTGTAGCTTACACGAGTACATAATACACACTGGGTATTTAGTATGAAGACAAGAAGCAATTTATGGCTATTATCAGACATGAAATTTTGTGTGTCCTTTCTGACTTTCATCTTTCCTTTTTATATCATTGAAAAATAACTTCATGCAATCATTTTTACTAGGAAATAGTGAGAGCATATGGGAAATTGTGAAAGTATACAAGGACACATTTCTGCCCTGATAATTAACCAATAATCAGATTTTATTAGGCCTAGTTTACTAACAAGATTTCCATTAACTACATCTTATGTATAGCTTTATCTGATATCTAGCTACGAGTGCTTTCTTTAGTTCATCCCCCGCGTAGAGTAACGACAAAGGTCCGTTCCTCTGCCTTCAGGGTGTCTACATTGAAATCATACCTAGATATTATATGTATATACTTCATTTTGAGATTTATAATATACTTTTGATAGGGTAGATTGCCCTATATATTCTTACCTCAAAAAAAAGTTCACTAACAAGATTTATTTTTCAATGTAATAAATTTCATAAGGTCATTTGAAGATAATTATAAGAGAATTGTGAGTTTTCTAGAAACCAAATGAACTAAAATATAAGTCCAATTTTGATAAACATGATTGCCAAGAGTTCAAATTAACTTAAATAGAACCTCATAAATTTGATAAGCATAACTCTCAAGAGTTGAAGGACAGCTACAAATATTGCCCAAAACTATAACCAAGATGCTAGCTAGGCCTATTTGAAATGACAAACCAAGTATGCACTTTTATATGAAAGTAGAGCACATGGAAGCTCATAAGAAGTTTGTACAAAAATCAATAAAACAAGCTTCAACAAAGCTCTCCCCTCTTCTATTTGATTATATGCTCTGATGTTTTCTTTTCTCTCTAGTTTCAAGACATGCCCGTGACTTAGATGGAGTTGGAGAGATTTTCAGTGGAGGGAATGATATAATTATTCCTCTGAGGCCATGCACTTTTGGTGTAACATCTTTTTCTATTGCCCATTTCTGTCATTGCCTCTGCAATGGTGGGTCTCAAACCTGCTCCTCCCAAAGAATTATGAAATTTCAATCACACAAACAAACATCGGATTTTCTCATATTAGCCCACATATATTCACATTTTAATTTGCATCACAAATCCTTTATAAGTAGGATGTTTTTCGTTATATGACAAGTGAAATTACAATATGAAATTATGATGCGGTTAAATGTTATCAACTTTCAATAATTTACTTAACACCCTTTGCGTTTGGCAAATCACCCTAACTTGGTAAAATCCTTAATCGGTTAGGACTGAACGAGAGAGGTAGATCAAATCTAACCATGTTACAGAGAGAAATTGAACTAAAAATAGCAATACTAATCCAGTTTTTGCCAACCATGTCCCTTATGATGCACTGCAAGTTAAGTATTTGGCAAACAAAATCCTGAGATCATACTAAAGTATATTGGTTTCCTTCCACTTTAATTTCACTCTTTTATCCTCTCATAATACTTCTCTCTCCTCTATTCTTTCAGTTAATCACACCATAATAACATACTTGGACAAATTTGAAGCTACTTGAATGATTTGAGTGTGTATATTAAACATATGAAGATTTAGAAGTTTAATACAAAAATATAATAGATAGGGTCTCATATGAGAAAAAACCCAACAAACATTCCTTGCTTTAATCTTTCTCAAGAGAAAATAATGAGGAGGATTGGGATTTGGGAAAAGGTGTGAAGCAATA